ATGGTGCTGCAACTCATTTTGGACAAAACGTTCGTGCTTACTTAGGCACGGTTTTCTCTGATCAGTGGATAGGACGGATAGGCGCGATTGAGTGGCCAGATCACCAGATTTGAATTCTCTCAATTATTTTTTATGGGATTTGTTGTGCCGTTTCTGCCACGGCACGGTTCGAGGATCCACAAGGGCTTGGGAGTACAATAATAAGACACTATCTCTTGTAGTTTAGTAGAAAAAATATAATTATTCATTTTATTGCACAGTGTGTCACAAACACTTAGTTGTAACCGCGTCGCGAGATATATATATATCTTATTGTTAAATCGACGAGCAAAGTAACGCGACGTCTTTCGTTGTAAAGACCGCTGACCGTGTCCGTGATTGCGCTTTTAATCTATATTTTCGGGGCAACCTTGGGCCTTTTGCGTTGGCCCGTCAGCGTTCCGCTTATCGGACGAGGTCAGCTTCCGCGCAATCATCTTGAGTCCGCGTTTCTATAGTTTAATATTTACTTCCGCTCAGGATCTTCTTTTATATTACTTTAGTTTAATAATTTCGGCAATCATTTAATTTCGATAATCATTTATTCAGTTATTATTTGCGGCACGTTCGTGGCTTATGCAATTCAGCACTCGTGACAGGTTATTTAAAAAATCGGGTGTACACAACTAAATCTCAAAATTTAGACGAATTGCGTCAACGAATACTAGATGAAGCCGCTCTTATACCTACTGAATGCTTCGAAAATGCAATCACAACTTTTTATCATCGATTAGCTTACTACCAAGAAGCCAACGGTCAGATTGAGCATTTGATCCATTGATACTTTCAATTGCCAGTCTATTCTAATGCTTTGGTAATGCTTCGTCTTGCCTTCATTGGCTGAACAGTCATACAGTCTTGCCTTAACTGGCTGGACACTGCTTCGTCTTGCTTTCATTGGCTGGACAGTCATACAGTCTTGCCTTAACTGGCTGGACACTGTTTTGTCTTACCTTCATTGGCCTTAATACCGGCGATACTGTAAATTTCAAGCATCATAACTCGAAAAGTACTTCATAAAAAAATATTTTATTATAGTGTTTTGGAAAGCTCTCGAGATGTGCTATAAGAATATGTAATGAAAAATGGGGTATTCTGTTTAAAAAAGTTAATGTGACCTTGACCTGACCTTGGTGACGCCACTCAAGGTCAAATGGATGTAATCAGTAAATAGATCTTTTTGAACTCTACAATTTTTATTTGAAACACTTTTCTGTAATACTTATACTTTTCATGATATTCAGATGTTCCGGAATTTTTTGAACACTGTATAACGAAATTATAATTGATGATCCACATCTAGTTCTAGGGTCTAATTGTGGATCATGACGCAATTTTAACATAAAATTGACAATTAATTCTGGACTACTGACAGTCAACCCGGGAGGGGGTATGCGATTATTGTAATATAAAATGAATACACCTTAGATGTTCTAATGTCTTCTTTATTTAAAAATCTTTGTACGTTTCGACTTATTAAGCTTTGGAGTCCTCTTCAGCAATTTTATTTCTCCTGTGCTATGTTGGTTTCGCAGTTTGCCGAGGAAGAGTCACTCACAAGTTACCAAATTTGTAGTGGCTTCTAATTCAGAACACAATTTATGAAATCTCAATTCTACCTGGATGGAAATTACATGAGTAATTCACCAGTCACCTCAACATACACCAATCTTGTCATGACGCTTTGGAATTTTGCAAATTTAATGCTTTTCACCATAAAATGGTTTATGTGCCATTTTTTTACAAAGATGATAAATCTCTAATTATATCGTTTCGAATGTCAAGTATGTCTAACGAGCAATTTCAAATTGACAAAGGTCAAAACATCGGAAAACATCGAAATCATTATATATATAAAACATAGAGTACCAATTATACAATAACGAATATGAACCTTTATCGGTTATCAATGTAACAAATATAAGAATGGAAATATAAATTAACAATTTTGCGATTCGAAAGACACATGGAATCAAACGGAGTAAAATGAAAATGTACAAATTAAATTGGTATTAATAACATATAAAGTGTGAAAAATTGAGTCAATTATACAAGTAGAATAAAAGAAAGTCCTCGTTGTAAATTATGTGCAAATACTCTTATGTGCAATTTTAACACATTCAAGTTTATTTAAAATTAGTGACAATTAAAAATCAATAATCCAAAAAAATTGATGAAAATTAAACGTTTAGCAATAAAAAACAATTAAATTATGAATAGTAATCATATTATGAATAGTAATATTTTGCATACAGACATTTATACTATTTTATATTCTATTTTGATAAAACTTAAAACAAATAAATCTTTTCGGGATGGCATCATTTGTAAGATTTGACAAGTTAAACATTTTTATAATAAATTTACGCAATAAAAGTATTGTTATAACATAGTGATTAAACAACATTCGCGCACACATTTAATCTCAACTCAGCATAACATTGATTTTTTTCCATGAAATTTAACGCTATTTACCTACTATAAAAGCAATAAAGCAATTCTTATGATGTTACACGTTGAATGAATTTTTAAAGATACATACGTTAATTAATCTCACACATTTAATTAGTTAATGACATTAATAAAATGTGTAGCACTGTTCCTAATAAATTAAATTAAATTGATACTTGAAAGAGATAAAACAAATGCTAAAGAATCTTGTGATAAGTACCATTTAATGAAAAGTGCTATAATCATTTAAATATAAAAAGTGATCCAGAATTAATGCCTGATCCACATCTAGTGGTTTTATCCTATATAAAATAAAATATATTTTATCATATCATATGTATAAAAAGTTCATTTTATACCTATAATTAATAATGTACATGTAAATGTATAATTATTCACATATAAACAAGAATTATAATAACTTAGATGGGATCATTCTGAAAATTGGTATACACCGAGTCAAAAAGAAGAGTTTATAAAATCGAGAGGGAGATACGTCAACATTTTAATCGACGACGAGGACTATGAATACATGAACGGTCATGTAATTGATGGGAGAAATTTGCTACCCGCAACAGGTTATCTGGGACTCGTTTGGAAAACAATTGGCATGATAAAAGGATTAATGTACACAACAATACCGATAGTTTTCCGAGATGTAAAATTTATTCGTGCTACTCATTTATTGAAAAATGACACTGTACAATTGTATATTGCAATACAGACAGGTATTTACGAGATAAGTGGTTTTAATTCTAATTGAGATTTTCTCTGAAATTTCTATGACAGTATTCGCAGGTCCATTTTACCATAAATTATTGTTTAAACACGCATTTATTATAATATAATTCTTTAGGCAGTTGAAAAAAGTATTTGAGTCCGATGGATTATCGATTACGTTAATGTAGTACGATAACAAAAATGCCATATAGTCAAATTTATAC